CTACCAGGGGAAATGCTACTAAGAAGATCAGAAGTTCTATCACCTTATAAGAGAGAAATACTATGTGACTACTCTTTTTTCTAAATCAAGTAAATGGAGCACATACATTATATTTCCTAACAGCCAGAATCTGACACCCTTATTTACACTGAACACAATCTTTTTTTCTATCTTAGGATATGTCCACACTAGAAACATAACTCGACCTATACAGGTCAACTTGCAGACACTGCAGCAATTACTGCAGTGGCTGATGTCCACTCTACCCTCCTAAGATCAGATGCTGTTAGAAACTCTACACAGTACAAATTCATCATGCAAATAATATTCAAGGAGAGGTTATAACTTGGGCTGCAGTGTATTCCAAAGATCTGTAAGCTATTCTTACTGACATCAGAATGTGTGAAGTCAAAAGGGTTCTCTTCTGCCAAAGAAAAGGGACAATGCCTATGTGCAGAAATGATTTGGAACGTCTTACCTTTTGCCAGCAGCCTGGCATTGGTAATCCATCTGGCCCCTGTTCCAAGGAGAAAGACAAAAAGTGCATAGTTGAGCCTGACAGTGTATCTGATGAAACAATGAGGCCTTCTTAGCCCACGACTAGTTCCCACTTTCTAACTATAATTCTGTCACTTAATATGAGGGAAATTCTAACATCCAATGGAGACTGAGGGTATGTCTAGACTACATGGCTTCGTCGACAGAGCCATATAAACTAGTTTATCTGACATAGTCAATGAAGTGGGGATTTAAACAATCCTCGCTTCATTAAAATAAAAATGGCCGCTGCACCGTGCCGATGATCAGCTGATGTGGCACAGCGTGGCAGTCTAAATGCGGCGCGGTTGACAAAGGAAGCCTCGTTTCCTTTGTCGACCGCGCCGTGTCTAGATTACCGCGCTGTGCTGGATCAGCTGATCGTCGGCACAGCACGGGGGCCATTTTTATTTTAACGAAGCAGGGATTATTTAAATGCCGGCTTCTTTGACTATGCCGAATAAACTATTTTACATGGCTCCGTTGACGGAGCCATGTAGTCTAGACGTAGCCCAGGAGTGCTTTCACTGAGCTAAGAGGGGCAATGTAGGGAGCTGAGAACCTGGTCTCTCAGTTCTGCTTGCAGCTCCCTACTGGGAGTGTGGTTGCCCCACAGGCTCCAGGTTGTCTGCTCATAACTCCCTCCTCCCCCCACCCCACTTGCCAGGAATGGGAGGAAGCCTCCTAGTGCTTCTTGCCCTTCCATTTCCTACCAGGAGTAGAGGGGAAGTTTCCCGGTGTGTCTTGCCTTCCCACACCCCACCAGGAGCGGGGGAAACCGCTCAGGGCTTCTCGCCTCCCATTCCCTGCCAGGAGAATAATCACACCTGCGGAGCAGGGTCCAGCTATGCTGGCTCCTTGGCCTCCCTCACCTACTCCCCACCAGGAGCCAGGCTGCTATATCAATTTCAGCTGATAGTGGGATTCAGCAAGGAGTGCTTCTCACCCTAGATCCTGGCTGGAAGCAGTGTCCATTCTTGTCTCAGCTCCCAGCTGGGGCCAGGATCCAGCCCCACAGCTCTTCAGCGGAGTAGAGGCAGGAAGCTCTAGCTCTGCAGCTTTCTTATCAATTTCACAGCTACTGCTATCACATTGACAAGACAGCCAACAGGCAATCTAAGTATGTACACAAACACTATGTCACCCAAACTACACTGACATAAACCTTATGCCTCTTGTGGAACTGGAGTTATTATGTCAGTGTAACAGGGCACTTACCTTAGTAGGAGGAAGGCTGTAGTGTAGACACTGACATAGTTAGGTTGATCTAAGCTTCTTTACCTTGACCTAACTGTCTAGTGTAGACCAACCTTTTGTGCCTAGCAAAGATAAAAAGCCATACAATATCTTATGCGCTAACCTGGAATGAAATCCTGAACCCACGCCATAAGTGGGAATTCTATCACTGACTTCAACAGAGCCAGGATATCACTCCAGGATTATAAACTGATTATTTTGTCACAGTTAGAACTATCTGTAACAGAGAATGCTTAATGAAGACAAGAGTGGCTGGTGCACCATTTCTAATAGAAGGCAAATTAATTCTCAATATTATTTGCGATCAGACTAAGTATACAGGACAACTAGATTATGATTTGGGAGAGTCAGTACAGGCAAACCTATCAAGTTTTATATAAAAAAAGTCAGGCCTTCATACTAGCATAGTCTCATACATTCATTCACTCATTCCATTACAAGCAGCATTTATGCAGTAAGAACAAAAAGACAAAAATCTACCAACTAGGCTGCGCTGCCATCCTTTCCATGTAATCCTTTGCCATGTTTATGGCTTCAATATTGTCTGGGTAGAGCACACAAAACATTGCCAGGGCACCCAGATTGTTGCCATAAATTTCATTCCACCGAGAACTGAACTCCTTGGGGTCCCAGGGAGGGAGATACTCCAGGGGACTAGACAGCATCGTCTGAACTGCCTCAGTAAGACGAGCTGTAATGTGCTGATGTGTAGTGGCAGCCTTGCTCTGCAAATCCTCCACCTCTTCTTTAGAAAAATAAAGCATGGGATAGCTGTCGTAGTTGGCATTGACAAAAGGAATCACAGCACTTGGGTTCTCATTGATGCTGGAGGCCAAAGCAAAGCAAATCACATGTATGAAAAACACACTGGGAGCCCCCCGTGTGTGAGTCCTCATTGTGGCATCAGATCTCCAAATCTCAATGGCAGGCAAACCATCTTTGAAATATCCTAGAGATGAAAAACAAGAGTGAAAAGGGGCGATTAGACACAATTCATTGGACAACAGTTGCCATCACCACATAGTTTACAAGAAATCTGACTCAGTCTGGAATTATAAAAAAACATGTGTGCTGTACAGATGGCTTTTAAATGATTTTTACATGGATACTCCAGATAAACCCACTCTGAGCAACCAACTTTAAAATCAGGGAAGCTATGTTTTGGGGAAGAAAGGCCCTTTTCCACAAACACTTCTCTACTCAGATTCCAGAGTGATGAGGATCCTATAATATACACAGATATATACATCTCAAAATAGAGTTTAAACTCTTGACTTCCTAAGAAACAGAATAATTATGACTATACCTAATGTAAAACATCACTGTGTTAAAAGCAGCCTAGAGTCTGTGCTGAATTGGCAGCTGTGGACTAAAGATTTTGTAATATTAGACGTTTGTGCTGGGGTCATTTTATACTGTGTACAAGGCCTCTAAGTTCTGACACGTCTTCGTTTAAAAAGGAAAAAAGCAAGCAAGTAGCAGAGCCCTGGCAAAGCCATGAAATAAATGGCCTTAGGGCGTGTGGAGTTGTTTCTTATTATTTTAAAGGGACTTCCATTTTGGTGTGGAAATTTTTTTATCAGTCACTAAAGAAGCAAAGCTGAAAAAAGCATATTTTTCTAAATAAATTACTGTCTTAAAATGTGTTTAAATGGAAAATCTATACAGAAGTTAAATGTGTCTATATACAGGCAATTACTTTTTTGAAAATTACTAACCCTCTAGCTCTGGGTCTCAAACAAACCAGGGCTTGGATCCCCCTGAGGAAAGTCAGGGAATTCCTGAAATTCTTCAGCGGGGAAAGGTTATAGAAAGCAGACTTAAGAAAGACAGTTTTAAGAAAATAGTGAACAGTAGTTTTCAATTATTAAAAAAAGTAGTAGTCGGAGGTAAAATAGCAGCCAAAATAAAAAATAAAATGATTTTTTCCAAGGAAAATGTGTTTCATAGATTCAGAAACAAAAATCTTAAGACATTAAAGTACAGTTACCACCTGCTTCCCCATCAACCTCAGAGTATGACAGAGGTCACAATTTTCAAAACTGAAGTTAGGCTGTTATGTCCATATTTAGACAACCTGACCCTGATTCTAAAAGCACATACAAAGTCAACGGGACTACATATGTACGTACAATACTTAATGCATTGTTGGACAGACCCTAAAAAAAGGGTGCTGTTCAGTACTGGGCACTTTTGAAAAATAAGGTCAGGATTCAGGTGTCTAAATATGAATGTAGGCACCCAATTTTTAAGTTTTGGTCATGCTCTGTGTCTTCTTTCACGTATGTCACTGGGATAAAAATAATATATAAGCATTCTAGTTCAGACACCAGTTTCTAGCACAATAATTCTTTTAGCACTGAGTAATGGGAGGAAAAAATGAATAGAGCATTTTAAGTGTTTTGTTACATTGCATGAATAAGTTGTGTGTCTTTTTCACAAAAGAATGACAGAATAATTGCATAGATTGCTGGGGACTATTTCTATTTTATCTAATCTCTCTCTCAAATGTATAAGTTTATCCTGCTACACTTAAGACTAATCCTGTCAACCAACTATAAATAATGAATTCCTGAAATAGAATATTCTGATAGGAAGGAGTTAAGAACCAACCAAACCAGTACATCATGTTTCAAACATAATGTGGGTTTCCGAATAGTTTTGAAGGGCTGTTTCCATAATAAAAGCCATAGTATATACCTAAAGTCCTTTTAATCCTTTAGATCTGAAAAAGGATTCTGAAGAACAAGCAACAATTCCTGATTCTAAAATAGGGAAGAATTAAATATTTTATTTATGGTCATATGTTACAGGAAATCACCCTGCTGCCCCCAGAAGAAGCAAGATACAAACATTTACTAGGCAAACTTTTCATTCCTCTTTCTGGTTCCAGTCCGGGAAAGTACTTAAAAACAAGATGTAAGCATTTGCTTACGTATGAAAATGAGTGTCTTCTTAAATCAGAGTCTCTGAATAAACAACACGGATAATATTGGAACATTTAATAGGATCTTTGCAATTTAGATTAATTACATCTTCCTACTATCCCATCATTCTATTAACATCAAATAATACAAGTGAACCATCATTTTCACCCTACGTTTCTCAATATGGAACAGAAATATAAATGCCAGATGAATCTTCCCCCCCCCATACATTTACAGTAACTATCATACAAGACTGACTGATCTGAAGATAAGCTTTATTCCTATAACAGTCTATCTTCTTTGATTATATTCAAAATCGAGACCTTAAAGAAAGTCAGTTGATACTGGTAAAAACAGTACTTTTAAATCATTCCTGTTTATATTTCATGAATCTAGCAGTAAAATATTAAATGATCATAAAGATATTATTTAGCTGAAGAGAAGACAACATATGGTATCTAAAGTTCAAAAAAGGCCCAAATCATGTCCCCTTTTCACAGGTCACAAGGTGTTCAAATTCTTTCCTCTAGACTGTAGAGCTATACTCCAGGGAGGCACCATCCACAGCAATATGGAGAGGGTCAATGGAGTAGGACCCCTGCAAGCACATGGGAATCAGTGTCTCTGTGGATGCACTATTCAAACTATGCTGCATACAACAGGGAGAGACAAAATTACTTCTCTGTAATGCTACATCCTGGGTAGGGGGCTGGACTATTCCTCACCATCCAGCACAGAAGATCAGATAGCAGTGTAGCCTTTGCCCCCTCCTGGAGGTTCTACCAGGGGGAGCATTTAACACACCAGCAGAGATTCTGGAGGAGATGTTCCACCTATTTGATAAGATTAACACAGTGGATGTGGTTCACCTTTACGACATGCAGGGTTGTACTCAACTGAGAAGAAGTTACGATAAAGAAAGATGTTATTGTGAAAAACGAAAAGGAGAGGAAGACAGAATATCTGAGTTTCATTCCTGTGTTTGCCAGGGACCACCTTTCATCATCAGGCTAACTATTTAACCAGTCTGGCTACGACTCTGCAAAGCACTTAAGCCCATGATGAGCCAAATTCATCCTTGTTCAGCAAAGCACTGAAATGCAGTTAACTCTCAATGAAATCAATGCAACTTAAGCAAATGGGTAATGGTGTCTGGTTTTCAATGGGAAAGTCCAGTCAAATGGAGGACCAGATGGTGTCCAGTCAGATGTACTGACCAGATACCCAAAGTCTAGTTATTGAGGGCAGGGAAGGTGCCTAGTTATTATCAGCACCAGCCTCTACTCAACCGGAGCCACTTCCTACAATTGGGTGGCTACATCTCTCAGGCTCCGCTCCATAATCAAGTCCGTCCTGACTCAGGCAATGAGGGGTGGGGAAAGGGAAAAAGCAGTGAGAGGGGGAAAGAGGAGGAAAGACGTGCAAATAGGGGGGTGGGGCTTCAGAGGGAAGGGGCAAGGCCAGAGCAGGGCCTTGGGAGAAGAGGCAGTTGTGGGATGAGTTGTGGCAGAAGAGGCAGAGAAGGGGAGATTCTAACACTCCTGGTGGGTGCCATTTTTTAAAATATTACAAAGTTGGAAACGCTATTTGATGAATAGGGATGGACTCAACCATTTGCCTATGTGCTTTTCTAAATTGGAGCTTCTGTACTTAAGAACTCAATTAAAATATACTTTGGAACCATTCTAGGTGAAAGAGGCAACATATTTTACAATTTTCTCCATCTGTCTAATGGGGATATTTCTCTCTCCCATCTTACATGGTTGTTAAAAGGCTAAATTAATCTACTTATTTATCTGCCTATCTTCAGATGCAGGGTGCTATTTATGTAAGAGCAAAGGATAGACTCTGGCTTTAAATGGTAACAATTATATTAATAAATGCATGTATGTTTTAGATTCACAATTGGATTAATTTATAAAGTAAAATTAAATTACTGTAGTAAAATTAATTTATTTTAAAAATTAACTTCTATAATGCTGAATAACCCTTAAAAGGACAGTCAACTGTTTTATATTGTTTGTGTTTTGCTCTCTAATGTGTGTGTTTTTCTAAGATGTTGAACATTACAGAAATAAATCAAACTATTTTGCAAATGAGTTAAGAAACCTGATTATTTAAACAGGTGAGACAATTCCAAATTTGTTCAGATAAATGATAATTCACACTATCAGATAACCATAGTAAGAGTCAATACAAAGATATCTTGCCAGTTTGTTAGACAGAAAGGGTAGGATACAGGTTAGTCAATAACTGGGATCCTATTATACACTATTATTTAAATTAAGAGAGGTGCCTTAATGCTTCAGAATGTGACACCACACTGTCACCATATACAACTTAGAAGCTAAGCTTTAGGAAGCCACTAAATATTTCTGGGAAATCATTTTTTTGTCTAATTAGTAGGAAACCACTGGCTGATATATTCAAGGATAAAAAGAGGGAAAAGGTGCTATAAACCTATCTGGGCAAGAAAAAGGCTAATATACCAATGTATTAGTAGTCTGAAAGAGCAGTTTCCATTGAATCACAATTAGTGGGCAGACGTACAACTGTAGCCAAAATGTGTCATAACATCGATGGTCCTTATTGAGCTGAATATTGCTGTATACATACTGCAAGTCTTCCAAATAAGTTTGGCTTGATACAGCATTTAAAGTAAAAATAAGAGGCAAGCTTTATTCTAGTCAGAAAGAAAATTTTTGCACTGAGCTTACATGATGGGAGAAAGGAAGGTCTGTATAGGTAGGGAGCCTTGTAATGTAACCTCATTTATGGTAAAACCCTTTAAATAATCTGACCTTCTAATAAAAACCTCATTGTCTTTAAAAACAGAAAATATTTAGAGCGTCATGGAACTACCTTTGGGATTATATACTGTGACTGTTCAAAAATGTTACTAAATTTCAATGGGAGTTTGGCTGGCATCACAAACTCAGAATAAAGCCATACCTGTCCAAAAGCTACTGACTACCTTGCTAGCACCAGCTACTGACTACCTTGCTAGCACCATCAGCTCATT